GTTGAATATGGGACGGTAAAACTAGATTTATGTGATAACTTTCCGATGCGGGCAAACAGTTGATTACATATTGTAGTATATTTTTGTTTCAGATTGAACCAAACCTGTCAGTTACAGGATATAAATTTTGTATCATGGTTTCTCAAGTAGTGTTGCCGCCGAAAATGAGTTCGTTTGGCGTATAGCATCGTATGATAAATTCGTACCTTTCCTTTCGTCTCATTCTATGCGCATTACTTTTATCAATATTATGTTACCTTTTCCTGCATATTTCCTTCGCTTTCTGGTAAAGTCCTTCACCGTGGATTTTATTTCTTCAGATCTATCGCTTAATTATTTAAACTGTCTCTGCCGATCTCTTTTCGTCGTTTTATATCGTGTTCAATTTTCCATTGCCTCTACTCTCGTTCGTTTTAAGTGTTGCGTTTTGCTGTTCTTTACTATTTTTGTTTTCTTGTTGGTCAATTTCCTTACCTACAATTGTAATTTACAACTTACAAGTTATAGCAAAAACTTCGATTTGAATACTGACTTTACTTCGTTTCGTTTTGCATCTTGGAAGTGCGTCATTTACCGTGTAAGGCAAGTATTTCTGGCTTTCATAAGTGGTGTTTGAAATATAGGGTTTTTGACCATACATACGTTTGATTTTGTTCTTTTTTTTTTCTTGTTATTATTTACATGGCATGAGAGTGAGACCCCAAATCACCAGTTAGACTGTAAAAACGAACCAGCCACAAATGCAATCGCTAATAGCGAATGTAAATAATCTTAGATGTGGCCGTACAAAGACCTTTTACAACCGTTGGGTTTTATGATACCTTGCAAAACACAAACTCAGACATCGACGGAAGGGTTCCCAGCTATCTGTTGCTATTTATATCGGTTACCTCAAATGCTTGTTACAGCCTGACCATAACTATATCTTTCGTGCACGCAACAGTGATTTTCAAGTTCTCGTAGATGCCTTTCTGAGACCAAAGAGTGTCTTTAAAGTATTCTCCAGCTATAAATATTTTACGACCTTATATTTCTTGATATATAAATTAATATAGCATGTGCATTTGACATGAGCCATTGTCTAACTAAAGAAATTATAGCAAAATTGTCTCGTTTTTTAGGCATGACAAACGATTATTTCAGCGCAAATTGATGATCGATGTTAAATACAGAAAAAAGAAGTTTCATAAAAAGAAGGATTTTGGTTGTGTTACCACAAAATTCACCTGATCCTCCGCGCGAAAATCAAATCATCTGCGTGGAACAGCGAACAATGGTTCTTTCCCACTTTGCATCGTGTTACATAATTTGCACAACCAAATCACGTGAAATAACATCTGGCTGTTTTTAGCTCGTCAACCCCTAAGAGTGAGTGGCACATAATTTGTCCCTATAAGATCAAGGACACGAGAATAATGGAACAACTGAAGAAGCTTTTAACTGTTAAACAAATTCTCCTTGTCAGCACTTTAGGAATGTATGAAGAACAGTATGGAGAATATACATACTGATGTTAGGGTGTAAAGGGTTAACAGAGAGTAGAAGAGGACATGGTGGTCTAATGGTTAATGCAGATCAAGAGGTTTAGGTTGAGTTGAGGGTGGGGGAAGGGGGTGGGGAAAGGCAAAACTAATAATCATAATAGTATTATTCACTCCCCACTCCCACCCCTTTCCTAATTTTTTCCTGTCACTCACCCATTTGATACAAATAATTTCTTTCGCTCCCCAGCCTTCCACTGTCATTAAAATCAAAGATGGTGGACATAATTTTCACTAAGAAAACACTGTGAATTCCCTCCCCGAAATCATGCCTGTTCTGTGGGCTAAACCTGGTTGGATTATTGTGTTGTTTCTTGGGCAAAATACTTTATTCTCACAGCACCTCTCTCCATCCAGGAGTAAAGATGGGTGCCGCTGCATTGCCAGGGAAACCTGTGATGAAGTGCTTGGGGGTAACCTTGCAATGGACTTGCATTTCCTCCACGGGGTTGTCATTATGCTCCTATTTGCTTCATGCTGTGTAAACTGGGATGGGCTTCATCGCATGGGTCACTTAGCTCAACTACAGACTTGAGACTGACTAACACATTCTTTCAGCTTGTTACTTTTATTACAAGGGTGCATCCCTCTTTCACTCTTACCATTATTATTTACTCTTTTTCATTACTGTGCTTGCATCAAACTTTCCTTACAATAGACAATCATTATTTCAAGCTAGTTACAATATACGATCACTCTCACTACTTCTGCGTTAAGCTCAAATTAAATACATTAATACAATCCAACTGCTCATATTAAAACTAAGATATACCCAACAATATTTTTTAGGCAGACACCCTTTAAAATCCAGACCTTAAGTGAAACCTGCTCAATTTCCCTTGCCCAAATTACAAATTCTGAATCCAATTTGAATCTAGAATTGTCAACTGTGTCTAATATTCTTTTAAATACACCATATCTGACACTACTTACAACTATCAATACTATTACACATATTATAGATTCACCAAACCTTACAGCAGTACAGGTAGGCATCTAGCATAACCTACCAAACATCAGAAACAAGTAAACACATTATGTATCTCAGATGTTTGCATTACAAAATTCAAATATACACATATGCTTCTTTAGAACAGAAGTCGTAAAGTGCAATAATCAGCCATCTCGGCAATATGCTTTTCTATGTACATAGGTCTATATATTAATATACATCTCAGGATTTCAGATTTCCCTAATATGGCAAAAAACAATGACTTTGAACAAATGCTTCAACAGGAATGCAAGAGATTTAATCCAATTGCCACAAGGCTAGTCAAGTATACAGTGATCCAAGTTTTGGCACACTATGATTACTGGTACCAGATTATGAGGCAAACTTCCTGTGCCATAGTCATCCCACCGCACAACTCAGTATTAGATGTCATTCATATTGATCATCGCGAACCAATATACAACATTGATCTTCTACGTCTTGGCATTGGTTCCTCTGCCACAAAGAAAAAATCTTCATCATCTATGTTGAACAAGTTTACATCCAGCAAAGCTGGTTCATAAAACTCAGGCAGCGTATTCCAAATGTACTGTGAGAACAGCTCCATTCCATCACAAGCCAAATGGCCATATTCATTCATTACATTCCATAACTCTGTCATGCCAGCAAGAGCATGCTCTTGTGTTTCATTCAACAGCTGTGAAAACACTTCAGCCTCAGTTTTAAGACATTGGGTAGTTGACATCAGAAAATCTCCAGCTTCAGAAAGTTGAGAAACTAAACAGTTGTTGGTGATTAATTCATTCACTCTGTCTTGTGCCAGCTGCAAGACAAAAACATTACAATTTGGTTCTATGACAATACAAAGTAAAGGTTTTGGTATATAACTTTGTTTCTTAATGTTCTTTCTGGGTCTGATAATCTTATTTTTTAACCCTTTCACTCTCAAGATCTCGTTATTTAGCAATTCTCCTTACTGTCTGCCATACAGTTCTTATGATGTTAGTCTGGAGAATTTGGTATTAGATAGACTAGTGATTCTCTCATTGATCTTTTCTTTATTCTCATCACTTTTCTGCTTGCATTGTATTAATATTGTAAGGAGAAGTTCTGTCTTGGTCACTCAGAAATCATGAGAATTTAAGTGTAAGGAGCTAAATCTGAGTGGTTTAACACTTTGGTCAGCATGATGCACGAATGTACACAACCTTGCTTTGTTTTTTTTTTTAATTTCAGTCTACTCTTTTCTTTCATGGTGGCTTTCCTTTGGGTAATTCTGAGGTTTGCAATTGGAAAATGAGATTTTGTGGCTTTCATTTTGTTTCAGGGGACCAACAGGGTGTTTCTTAAGGGTTGATTTTAGCCCTGCTTTAAACCCCTTTCACCCATGGATGATTTCCTTTTCTTTGCATGTTAGTTTATAATTCCTTTTCTTTTTTTTTCTTTTTAATCACCTCTGATTTGCATAAATGCCATGTGCACTGAAAGATTTCTGTAAAACCCCAAACTATTCCAAAACAAAGCCATAGTCCCAAAGGTAATCTATAGTTTTTGCCATTGTTTTCATTACCCAAGAACTGTATGCATAATGAAGTATGGGGCTTGTGCGGAAAGCTTAACGCCTTCAATCGTGCCCTCTTCATCTCAAAAGAGGCCACAAAGAGAAGGTCTTAGGGTTGCCTTTTAAAAAAAATTGCATCCATGTAAAACAGATTTAAACTGTTGTACCTCTACCACAGTATGAAGAATTTTATCCGGTGTATAATCGGAAAGCATATCTGTTGCATCCTTCCATCTTTCCTCTGCAGCATGCCACAATGCACGAGAAATGCTGTCTCCGTTTTCACAGACACCAATTGAAGTGCATCCAGTACTTGTGTCAGAGAAACAGTTGCTTAGCGGTAAACTCAAGGCTGACTTGCAAATCCTTAAAATCTCACATTCATTTGAGCTAGTTGAGTTATTTTCGCCAAATATTTGCTGTAATTGCGTTCTTCCGAAGGACAAAATTTTTTCAGCGGTGACTTCAAAGCAACAGGGTTTTGAGTCAAGACTTTCTGTGGTTATTCTGCCTTGAAGATGTAATCCGCCACCCTTCAGCAGCGACTGATTTGCTAGGCTAAGTAACTTAGAGGTTAAAGATGATGTTCCTCCAAAAGCTAGTCTAGAAATGGGCACACTGCGAGCGACATTGTATATCTTCATCAACTGACCCACCAAATGTGAAACGAGTGCTGATTCGCTACACATCGAACAATTCGCAAACAGCAAGCTTAGATTCGACTCTGTCGATAGAATTACCGTTTCGCTGGTACAAGACATCTTTGAAGAAGCCTTTTTTCTTTTCAGCTTTTGCGGAAGAAGGAAGATGTTATGTAAAAATTGTCTCGTGACAGCACATTCTGAGGAAGATGAAACTGCTTGTTTACAAATTTATTTTAAGTTAGGCAAGGTTACAATGCTTTCTTGTTTCCCAGTTCTCTGTCGGTTGAATAAGCGCCTGACCCTTTTTGCACATTCAGAATCGCGAAAATGGCTTCTGACGAAGGTAACCCAAACGGCACTCTGATCATCGATGGAAGTGTTATGGAAGGGGTATTGTAAAGCATTTCATCCACGAGATGTTACAAAATACGAATAGTTGAATAAGTTTTCGCTTTTTCCACACAGGGAGGTCAAATCCTTCGGAATGCAGTCAGCTTCGCATGCCTGTTGAATTCTGCAGTTTGTGTTCAGAATATCAGAGCTGGAAGGTCTGCACCAGGATTAAGAGCTCAACATATGACCGGTACTTTTCGCACTACATTTCGAGCAAATTAAAGAGGCGATTCTCGCAGGTGCAACTTTGCAATTTAGAAATTGTAGGAGAGAGGCCTAAAAAGTTCAGGCTTCGACTAGACACTACTAACATACAACCGAGCCACGGAGCCACATGTTGGGTCCTGAATTTTCCAGGCTTCGTTTGCCACCCAGAAAGTTGGCAGTTTGAGATGGCGAGTGTTTCACTGCACGTGAGCTAGCTTCACTCGCAAGAAGCTCCAAACTTCGCATATTTCAAAGTCAGAGACGTTCTTGAAATAACTTTTCCTTTAAATCGACTTCTTTTCTATATAAAAACATTTAAAAAGGACAAAGATTCAACAAAGATTCTCGTATGGAATAAGCCAACAAAATATTGATTAAAATTGGTAATTATTCTTTAACCCTTTAACTCCCAAGATCTGATTGAATTGTTAATTCTCCCCTCTAGCTTCTACACATGTCCTTGTAAATTAGTTACAAGAATTTGGTTGGTATAGATCAAGATAACTTCTACCTGATAAGTTTGAGTATCCTCATTACCTGTTTGCTGGATAATATATGGATATTATAGGGAGAAGATACATGTTAATCACTTCTGGCAGTCCAGGGCTAAACCTCCTTTAAGAGGTTTTGGGTCACAGTTAGTGTCATGACTATTTACCAACAGTCAGCACTTGCAAATTTCTGCTCAAGGATTTGGGGCTAATGCTGTCATTAATTCATGATTTTAAGGACTGCAACTGGTGCGAGATGTTACTTCTGGTAAACTTGAAGGTGACAAAATTGGTTCCACTTCAGTCTCTCTTCATCCAGGCAGTATTGGTTCTGGGATATTTTTAGCAGATACTCATACAGCTGGGTGAGATATGTTTATTAGAATAATTGCATGACAAGTCTTCTGCAATATGGAGTTTTGTAAGAAGGATGAGAAAGATGGTAAGTTTTAAGCTTGATGAAGAAATACAGAAAGATGCTTTTCACCTTTCTAATTCTATTCACAAAACATGACGCTATCAACGTTACTGATCCTAGCAGTAAGCAGGATGTGTATCATGTATGACCTTTGTAATGGGCCTTGCCCACCATAGAGTCTCTGTGGCTCAGTGGTAGAGCATCAGCTAGAGCATGGAATCCAAAGGTCTGACAAATTTTGTTAAATTCTGTCAACTTTTCAAGTTCTTGTGTATTTTTGCCCTAATTAGAATTAGAATTTAGTTAGAGCGAGAGCACCCTATTTTCTTCCTAGGGTGACCTTTATTGATCCTTAAATTTGTTGTTTTATTTTCCCTTTGCAATCATGGTTTGGTTCTGTCACCACAGGCATTAGTGAGAGAGAAAATGCACTGTGTGACAACACCAAAGAAAAGCTGAAAAAGAGACTCGTAAGAGTTGGGTGTGATTTCAGTTTATTTGTTGTGTCAGTAAGTTATTTTTCTCATCCTACAGGAGTGTTTCTCTGCTTATGCAGTTGGCTCTTCCTTGCCTTCTATATGCTCCTGAGACATGTAAGTTAATACTTAAAGGAGGAACAAATGCAGAAATGGCCCCACCTATTGATTACATGACAGATGTAAGTGCTGAGGCAACTGTATTTTTTTTAACTTTTGCCAGCAAGTGACCTGAACTGAACATTATCATTTTTATGCATTTCAATAACAAGGTAGTCATTGTAATTGTGGGTTGTGAAATGAATTAGGTAATCCCACAGAATGTAGTCTTTGCTGCCATCAGTTATGTTGTGGATCTCATGGGAAGCATTTACAATATTTTTTGAGTCTTTTTAGAACCTTCTGACCCCTAAGAGAGACTATTGTCTAATTTTTCCCCATGATATCATCCTTGAATCACACATGAAGGTCATGAGAATAAAGGAAATGATCACCATTACTCAAGAAGCTCTGGATTGTTACACAAATTCTCCCTGTCAATGCCTTAGGAAATGTATATGGAATAGTATGAAGAATATATACACTGATTTTAGGGTGTAAAGGATTAAGATAATCCTCCCATGTTCCTGTGTTTTGATTAGTAGACTTATTTCCTAGGCTGTACTTTTATATCTGTGTTATAATCATCAAAGATGTATCCTAACAGTGCAGCAGTTGGTTTAAGGTCCAAGTGTTTTTTTGATTATAGAAAATGCACTTTACTGACTTCAGCTTGAGGAATCAATGTACAGTTGAACCATTATTAAGCAGTCACCCATGGGGAATGGCTGAGTGGTGGCATTTTAGTACAGGTTGACCACTTAACACAGGTCCCACAGATTAGGGGTATTATGAAAAACAATAAACAATGCCACTTTATGTCATAACTGACCACTTAATGTACAGAATCTTGCTCGTAAAATATTACAGTATCTTACTTTGATTTTGGGAGAGAAACATGGATTGAAAATTACTTGAAAAATTATTCTTAGTTTTAATTGAGTGCTCCCCCTTTCAGTGACCATTCAATACAGGTGGAGAAAAATATTATTAATGATATGGTACCGCTTAATGCAGAACTGTATTTCTTATTTTATCCACACGCATAGCATTGAATTAAATTATGTATCCTACAGGATTTTGATTGATATACTTTTTAAAAAAAAACTGTTGTCCTTCTGCAGATTTTGAGACCAGCTATAAAAAGACTGGGTGTAGACTTTGATTGTGAGATTGTAAAAAGGTTAGTTGTCTACTTTATAACTTGAGTTAAGGAAATTTTTACAAAGGGCCTCTTCTCTTATGCCATCTAATAAATCAGAAAAACATTTGACCCTAACTAATGTGTTTGTTGTTGTTGTTGTTTTTTTTTCTGTACAAGAGGTTATTATCCTAAAGGAGGAGGAGAAATTCATGTTACAGTAAACCCTGTCAAACAGTTGAAGCCATTACAGTTACTACAAAGAGGAACATTATCCAAGATTACAGGTCGTGCTTATGTTGCAGGTGTTTTACCTTTCAAGGTTGGTAAATTATTTTTAATAGCAGAAAACCCTGACTCAGGTCAGAATTTGTGAGGTTGTTTTGTTGAAAGGAGGAAGTTAGGGGGTTCTGACATAATGAAGCTGTAAACAGCAAGGATACAATAATTTTCATTAAACATAGCCTAAAGTTTCAATTCTTCAAATGGCTGTTTTGATAGCTGTTAGCCATCTCTTTAAAGAGTAGAGATGTTGAATATAAATATACTTGAATATACTTAAATATACTTGAATATACTTGAATATAAAAGAACCCCTTATGCTATGACTTTTGGTTCATTGAAGTGCGAGGGAAGTTTGGCAACCACATTTTGACATTAAGTTACAAATCATGTTCTCACAGGCGACTGGCTCTGTTTCAGTGGAAACATGTCATTTGACTTCTTTTGGTGGGCTTTCACATTTGATGGGTGGTGACTCATGGCTCTTGAGATTCTGTTACCATTGCAAACAAGGAAGGTTGCCTGTGAGAACACCATTACTTTACATTTACAGTCAAAACCCCATCACCAAACTTTTCAGCATATTATTCTGCTGATAATTGTTCCTGACCAATGACTATTTTGAATATGAAAGCGATCTTTGCAGTAATGAGCACCACTTGACCATTATGTCAGCTCAGTTAGTAAAATAATGCCTGAAAAAATTTAGGCCTGTACAGGATTTGAACCCATGACCTCTGCAATGTTAGTGCAGTGCTCTACTAACTGAGCTAACATTATGACCAGCTCCCAGTTGGCTCACATAATATTATATGAATTTCCTTCAGGCCTTATTTTCGCTACTGCTCCTTCAAGTAGTCTTCATGACTGGGAGGATTGCTTTCATATTCCCTTCTTTGTCTGCAGTTTACATATATGATTTTCATATATTCACAGTTATTAACTATTTTACATGTCAGACTTTTTGGTATTCAAATTGTTCCAGCTGGTGATTGAAACAGAAGTGCACGTTTCATCACTTTTTGTCACCCAAATAACAAAGCTTATTTTGAACCTTAAATCCTAATGTCAAAGTTTTGGTATTTTCTGTCTATGAAAGAACAGGGCCTTAGTTGGCTTATCAATATGGTTGATTTAATTTTTGAATTAATATCAGTATCTGGGCAACTGCCCACCTACCCCTCCCCTAGTCCAACAACAGTCAACTGATAACAAGTTAGGGTTAATGTTGGGTTAGGGGAAGGGTAGGTGGGCAGTCGCCTAGATACTGATATTGGTCCAAATGTTTTGATAGATGGCCCAGACTATGGCTGAAGTGGCCCATAGAATGTTGAAGGAGAAATACCCTGATGTGCAGGATATTAAGATAGAACCAGATAAAGAACCTGGAGACAAGGCACATGGAAGTGGATCTGGAATAATGTAATTCCTTTTAATAATTACTTACTTAAATTATTAGTGTTGGCACAAACTGCGAACAGATAATACTCCATTCAAAATTATTTATTTTTACCGAAGTCTTGCAGTTGTCTCATTACTTTGGACCCTTGAGTTTCTAGGAGGAATTGTAACTGTACTTAGTCCAGATAATTATTTTTAAAGATGTTCAAATCTCATTGTCTTCATTGTACACTTTGTACTCACAGACATAGTATACATTTTAAGTGGATGACATACCATAAAAGAAAAGATTATCAAGCCCCAAATCACCCGATGAGTTGATTTTCCTCTTAATTAAATTGCAAATGTAACTATTTTAGAATTTATTGATATTAAATTTTTAGGCTTATGGCTGAATCCTCTACTGGATGTAGAATTGCTGGATCAGCAATTGGAAGGAAAGGTAATTGCCCATTCTGTATGTCATATGTATAAGTGGTTAAAATATTCTCAGCCTTGATTATTGATAACAAATTAAGAAAACAAGCCCCAAACTTAGATTGGTAGTTATCACAGTAACATTAACTCTTTAACTCCCAGATCAAATTTGTAATTCTCCTTACTGTCAACCATAAAATTCTTAATAATGTTAATTGATTTCAGAGAATTTAGTATTGGATCAACTTATAATCCTTAAATTGATATTTTTCTTTATTCTTGTCACTTATCTGGTTGATCTTGTATAGATATTGTAAGGAGAAATTCTGTCTTGGTCACTCATGGGAGTTGAAGGGTTTGCAAAACCCAATAGACAGAAGATAACACATATTCACCGGCATATAACACACTAAGAAAACTGACTAATCAATATTGTAAGTTAAATAATATTATATAAACCCCTGTGTAGAAGGTGTGTGACAGGTGTGAGGTCAGAGGTCACAGGGATTCACCTTTCCCCTTTCCCATGCTTCCCTTCATTTGGTTTAGGTTACTCCCTGCTATTTCCATAGCAACTGATGGTTTGTCTAAGAACCTGTAATTTAAGATCAAGGGAAGTGATATCTTGTTTCTTTTTCTATGGTCAAGGTGTTTCTCCACAGGAGGTTGCAAGAAATGCAGTTGAGGAGCTGGCAAATAATCTTCAATATGACAGTTGTGTTGATGAACATCTTCAGGATCAGGTTGATTGTGTAGAATTATAAACATATACATTTTACTTTGTAATTCTAACAATCCAATTTAAGTAACTCTCCCTGCTGATTGCCTCACATTTCTTATAAATAAGATAGGAGAATTTGGTGTTTTATCAGGATAACATCCTCCTACTGATGATTTTCTCTATTCTCATAACCTGTTCCCAAGGTGACATAATGGAATCACAAGGAGAAGTTACATGTTAAAATCATCTTTTAGAGTTTACATGTTAGGGAAGTTCTACTGTCGCTTGCATGTAAGTGTGAACATGTGACACTGAAATATGATCAAATTTAGGTGTCAAACAGGGTAAGATTGGTCACCAAGCAGTTAACATTTTGCAGATTGTAGTGCACTGTTTATGACTAAAGAAATGTAAAATGGTTTCCGTGTTTACATCAGGCTATGTAAACACAGAAACCATTTTACATTTATTTTATAAAATAACTGATGAAAGAGGAATGAAAACCGTGTTTACATATGCTCATGTAAAATGGTTTTATGGCCAATCAGAGGGTGCGTACTATTTGAATTATTTTACAATGATGATTATGTTCTGTGATCCTCCATTTCCAGCTGATCATATTTATGGCTTTAGCTGCTGGTCATTCATCTATGAAATGTGGACCACTCACTATGCACACACAGACAGCTATTCATGTTGCTGAGAAAATCATGAAGGTATGCTACTATGGTAGCTTTTAAACTTGAGTGTTTTTTTATGTCTCAGCATTAAAAAGTGGTAACCATTTGTGACCCTCCATGGGAAAACGGACAGTAATGCTTTTCCGTTAAACAGTCCAGAAAAACGGTTTTAAACGGATACTAAACGGCTAGCTCAAGCATTTCTGGAGTGAGCAGTGTTTGTGTAGAGGGACAGTGTTGTTAAACATATCAAGGCAGGCCTTAAGACTTGCAAGCAAGATCTGATAATAAGTTATCATCTCTAGTTGCTGTATACCTGTAGTTAAGGTGTGCTACTAAACGGCTTGCTCAAGCGTTCCTGGAGTGAGCAGTGTTTGTGTGGAGGAACAGTGTTGTTTAACGTATTAGGGCAGGCTTTGAGACTTGCAAGCAAGATCTGATTGTTAATTCTCCCTTCTAGTTGCTATATACCTATAGTTACTTGATGTAACATAGCAATCAAAATGTGGTGAGAGTGATACAATTTTCAATCAGGTGTTAACCCCTTCACTCCCAAGATTTCATTAGTAATTCTCCTTACTGTCTGCTATACAATTCTTATGATGTTACTTCTGAGAAAATGGTATTGAATCAACTAATTATCCCTCAACTGATATTTTCTTGCTTGTCTGTTTGATATTGGATTGATTTGGTGAGGAGAAATTCTTTCTTGGTCACTCGTGGGAGTTTAAGGGTTAAAAGTAGTCTGGGATTGCATTGGTTTTGGTTCACAGCTATCTGCTATTACTCCAGAAACTTTTATTCCTTTCTATATAAACCAATCACTAAAAATAAAACCAATTGGGACTTGGTCACAAGTATTTTCCTGCAAGTCAGATAGTTTGCCTATTTATACTTTAAGTTCTCATTTGCTCCTTACCCTTTACACCCTAACATCAGTATGCATATTCTCCATACTGTTCTCCAGACATTTCCTACAGTGCTGACAAGAAGAATTTGTTTACCAATCAAGGACTTCTTTAGTTGGGGATCATTTCCTTATTCTTGTGACCATATTGGGATCAATATCAGTATCTGGGCAACTGCCCACTTACCCTTCCCCTAACCCAACATTAACCCTAACTTGTTCGCAATTGACTGTTGTTGAGTTAGGGGAGGGGTAGGTGGGCAGCTGCCCAGATACTGATATTGATCCCCATATTGTGTGATTCAGGGGTGATATTGTAAGAAGCACTGAGATTCTAGTCACTCCAAGGAGTCAAAGGGCTAGAGTTCTTCAAGAGAGACTATGGGTAAACAATATCTATTCACAGTTGAACTTGTGTTAAGGGGCACCATATCAAGCAGTTACCCTAAGCAGTTACTTGTCAAAGTCCCAAATTTGTACTCCCTTAATTACCATAATTTTCACCACTTGTAAAGAATTGTGTTCACCTTTCATTGAGGCCCCATGGCCTGTTTGTAGTATCCTTCACTTGTATTGAACGGTCGTGTGAAGCTGAACCACTCATTCAAATAAAACTAAGAATAATCTTTCAAATAAAATTAAATCCATGTTTCTCTCCCAAAAATCAATGTTAGAAGACAAGTGTTTTTGAGCAAATTTTTGTACATTAAAGTAGTCAATTATGGCATAAAATGGCAGTTTTTGTTGTTTTTTAGCATTACCCTTATTCTGTAAAACCTGTATTAAGTGGTCACCCCACCACTCCCTGTGGATGACTGCTTAATACAGTTTGGACTGTACTATTTTGTTTCTTGATCAAAATTTTCAAAGGTTTTGTTTTTCTTTCAGGCAAAGTTCAAGGTGCAGCAGATGCCTGATGAGAAAGAATGCATTATTGAATGTGAAGGAATAGGTTTAAAAAACCCACATTTATAACAATTAGAACTTCCTCAGCTTGTAAATATTAATAAAGAATCACTAATGAATAAATTATTGAGAAATAAATAAATGTATCTGTACCTGGTGGTATGAGATGTGATTGTCTACCTGAAATAAATACTTAACCCTTTCACTCCCAAGATCTGATTAGTAATTCTCCTTACTATCTGCCATACAATTCTTATGATGTTAGTTCAGAGAATTTGGTATTGGATCAACTAATAATCCCATGATTGATATTCTTCTCTATTCTCATCACCTACCTGCTTGATATTGTATTGACATTGTAAGGAGAAATTCTGTCTTGGTCACTTATGAGAGTAACTCCCACGAGTGACCAAAACAGAATTTATCCTTAAAATATAGATACAATATTAAATAAACAAGAGATGGGACTAAAGAAAAATTTCAATTTGAGCATTTTTAAGAGATCCAATTCAATTCTCCAAACTAAAATCACAAAATTTGTATGGCAGACAGTAACGAGAATTACTAATGAGATCTTGGGAGTTGAGGGGTTACTTAATGATTGAAGATTTGACTGAGTCATTCATACCTGTGTGTAATACAATTACCCCTACCATTTTAATTCTGACCAATTTTCTCAAAATGCCTAGGTGATGAGCAAAACACAGTATGGCAGCTTCTTTCTTATACTATATGCTTTTTACCTGTGCCTCTAACTTGCTTAAATAATGAAGAGCTAGATTATGAGCAATGAGAATGCAAGAGAAAGTTTGAGTTTTGCTTACAAACCACAACATTAAATTGAGGTCCATGTACACAAATGCAAAATAACATTTGTAGATTCTTTATTCCATCTTACTGCACCAGTGTTAATCAAAATTTCTTAGAAAAGCACAGTTACAGGTTCAAATTCTGGCCAGACATTACTCAGTCCACTAGAAAAAAAAAATAACAAAAATTCATCTGGAGCTTCTATGGTGATGCAATTGCATTTTCTTGGTTTTTTTAGTAAGAAGCAATAACACAGGGTAATGGATGTCTTCATCATAAAGTGGGTCCTCATTTTTCGCTGCTTGGTGCTGTGACCACACAACTGGGTCATAGTTTTCAATCCTCTCCACACAAAACTGAGACAAGGCCTTGCTGCAAAATGTTTCAAGTGTATCCTTTCTTTTTGGTGCCATAATGACTGCACAACCATTGTCTTTGAGAAGAACTGCCATTGTATGAAGCAAGCCATAGTGAGACTGAGTGAAAAACAAGCAATCTGCACTGATTATAAAATCAAATTGTGATTCCCAATGAGATAAATCTGAGTTAATATCCCATAACAATTTCTCGGACAGGACAACAGTTGAACCAAACGATGGTTTATTTTGCTGCAGGATTGCTTCCATATTTTTCACGCAGTTGTCATTACCGTCTGTAAGAAAAACTTTGAGAGGATTTCCCATGACAGCTAAAACGATGCCAGCTAGCGCCGTCATACCTGCTCCGAGTTCACAAACTGCTTTCCCACAAAACTGACCTCTGTGTTTAAGCACATACGAAGCTAGCACTTCCTCTGACGGCCACAAGCAAACGTTACCGGTGTTATCGAAACCAATTAAATCTTCAAGGACAACTTTCCTACATCGCTGTTTTATGAACAATGGTGTATTGTCTAGGCTGTTACAGGTTGCAACAATTTCCCAATGTCGATATTCCACCCACTCATAATCGGTTCCATTTTCGTTCAGCTCTGTCTCGATCAGCACGATCTTTTTAGAAAATAAGTTGAATCCCGAAAATCTACGCACAGACACCTTCTGATCATTTTTTTCCAAACTCTCCTTCTTAATGATAGAGGCCAAAATCTTCCATCTTTGCTGAGCTCTCAGGCGTATGGAGACCGCCATGATTCTCGCACGTGTGAATCATGGGATACAGTTGACGTCATTGGAAGGTAACGCAGAACTTTACTTTACTGATGGATTCGTTATGCGACAGATTTCCTCTTCACAGAGCGGTTTTTGAGGGGAATCTTCGGAAGGTTTCGAGTTGCTTACGCACCTATGATGTAGGAGAAAGAGATGTACATGGTAATACTTTTGTTCATTGTCATTTCATGTAAACAGCGCCCAACAGTTTGTTTTCACAACCGCCCATTGCCGGCCGGCGGTTTCAAATTGTCGCGAATCGAAATATGTAAGATTAATTTTCCCAATTTTACAGCAACACTACTTATGCAGTGTCTGATCGAGGAGAATACTCTTTCCTTGAGCCTTTGAGTAATTTTTACCCTTTCTTAAGCAGCCATGTCATGGAAAGAAAAAAAAAATCTTGCGTAGAATTTATGTGGTCACCGGAGTACCAGATGACAATTTTGAGAACATGTTTACATGTAGCATCAAATTTAAAAGTTACCCCGCGTCTTTTAAACTTTTTTCGTATTTGTAGCGATGCGAGGATTTTTTTAAGACCTAATTTCCCTTTCAATGGTTTATTTGTTTCGATGTGGTCAAATCTTACGCGAATGTGAAAAAAAAAAGATACTATTGTTTGCCAATATCTGCCAGACGTACAAAGGTTATTGTTATCTCTGACTCTCTTGTGATCTTAACAATTCTTTGCCTCATGAAGTCGAAAATTGTAATCAATAATGAATTGCGATTTTTTAGCATTCCTGGCCTTTTTGTAGAAATTATACATATCTCATATTTGGAAGACTTCTGAACACAAACGTTATCTCTCAAGTGTTTGACCCACAAAAAATTAATTAACACACGCACAGGGTTTTAATTTGTGTCAAATATATTGCTAGTTTGTTGAAATCCACGTTATTGATATAGTTGTTAAATATTGTCTCCTGAAAAGATATAAAAAGGAGTTAAGTCTCTTTGCATTGGTGGTAGAGTGTATCGAGGTAATAAAGTATTGTCAACTGAGTTGACAATGTAAATTGGCCACCATTTAGAGTATCAAAGCTGATGTTTCGAGCATTGTTTCTTTATCAGAGCAAGCCCATGCTCAAGGGCTAACACTTGACATGTCAGCTTTGAAACTCTCAACAGTGGCCAATTTAGGTTATCAACTGAGTTAATAAAGCAAATTACCCTGATTCTAATAGAGACTGATTTGTTATTTTCTTTGTTTAAGAAATGAGATTATTTAAAGAGAACACAGGGAAGCAAATTAAACTAGTTTAAACTCATTTTGACCTTATCTCTCATTCATAGAGAGTACAAGCATTTTCACATCATTGCTCAATCCTCAACACCCTATCATAAGTATGCATATTCTCCGTGCTGTTCGGTATATGTTTCCTACAGTGCTGATAAGGAGAATTTGTTTAGAAATCAAGAGCTTCTTTACTTGGTGAAGGGTGATATTGTAAGAAGTAATTAGTTGGCACTGTGTTCTGTACATTTTATTATTAAGGTAGATTGATTTTTTTTTCATTGTTTAGGAAATACACCCCTTCATTTGGCAGTTCTCTTGGGTCACAGAGGTAAGAGATACTCTTTTGTAGATTTATCTGGTACATGGATCTAATAGAAATGGCAATTTTTTTGGACCAATTGTTCAGAACTCTTGGTCAGTAGTGTTAGAGGGTAGTTGCTATTGAAGAAGGGAGAGAGGGGGGTTCCAATCTATTTAGCAGGATGGTGATTACTATGGTGACAAAACCACAACCCACCACAAGAAACCTGTTAACACACTACATCTATATTGTGGTCTTATTTAATAGGCATTATGTTAATTTAAGTTGGCACAAAGATAAATTGGATAACATGCTGGCAAAATTAAAAGGCTTAATGTGGCAGGGTTTGAGCCAGGCCGCGCCATTGTGCCAATCCCACACTGCAATTGAAATTGTCCCTTAAAAAAACCGTCAAGGGGACAATTTGTCCCCTTCAAAATTTAGGGAAAAAACTTGAAAGGAAGCACACACGAAGAGTTTTATCTCAGTACAGAAATTGCAAGCTGAAACAGAACGTGGAAAATATATTTCATCGCACGTTTAAAGTTCATTCCAAAGTCACGTTTCAGTCACGCTCTACTGAACACGTATGTCTCATGCTCAACCAAGCGTGGTGAACGCACGTGGCAAATTTTTATTGCGCTTTTCACAAACATGCAAACTCAAAAGTTCAAAAGCCGCCTTCACAATTACATTTTTCGCTGCCCTCGATCACAAGCAACGAACCTTGAAACACAGAAACACACGAAACGGATTGAAATCCACCAATCACAAATCGCAAACCATGACCTTTTGAACCCGTGAAAGTAAAGTGTTGTTTCCTAAGAGTTCCATTAAGATGATTGATGGCAGCGAAAAACGCAATCGTCAGTTAGCTTTTGAACGTCAAAATTCACGTGTTTGTGAAAAGTGCAGTAATATGTCACATCGAAAACGTGTTCGAACATTAGAAAGCTTTTTCGCTCCGAATCGAAGCCAGAGTGAATCAGAGAAAAATGATACAGAAGAAGAACAGTGTATTGATCAGGAAAAAACGGATGAGGATCGAAGGAAACCGAAAAAATCACCAACTTTCCTGAAAACTTGGTTGCGAGATCACACATGGTTGCGCTATGAAAAGGAGGCGATGTTCTGCTATTTTTGTCGGAAATCTAAGACAAACCCCTTTGCAATGGCAGAAGGGTGTATAAATTTTAGAACCTCAACTCTGCAGGAACTCTTTTCTACAGCCCTTGATGTTTGGGCGAGAACCAACAGAAGAATTAGTACATGTACGTCTACCAGTAATTAAGAAAGGAATTGAAGTTTACAAGGGATGCCGGGACGAGATTCTGCTGTGAATTGTTTTCAAGTATAAAGCGTAGTCATTGATCCTCTGTTTAAATATGACAAGAAAAAAAATTTGACCCCAATAACATAACTTTTCTTTTTTGTATCACTTTTCTTGTATTACAAGGATCAGGTAAAAAAATGTTTTTGTCGGCTTGCCTGTATGAATGTAAAAAAAAAAAAATGTTGAATAAAAATTGATTTGTCTGTCCCCCTAAAAATGAAAATGTCCCCCAAAATTTTTGCTAAGGAGACAAATTGTCCCCCAGTGATCAAATACTAGCTCAAACCCTGATGTGGTTTTGCAGAGTAGCATGTTACCAACTGATTTCTATCCACAAAGTTTCAGCAACACTATATCTGTGTTTTGAATAGCAGGTTGACAAACTTGTTAAAATTAATATTATAATATTTTACCTATGAAACATGACCTTGATTCAGCAGAGGTGCTTTATTGCCTTGTCCTGTAGCATGTAATTTTTTATTTTAGAATGTGTGTATTTACTGCTGGCCCACAAAGCCCCAGTGAAAGTGAAAAATAACTTTGGATGGACTCCTCTGGCTGAAGCCATCAGTTATGGGGATCGGCAAATAAGTAAGTTACTCTTGATGATACAAATTGTTGTTTTGTTTGCCACCTTTGTGCAGGGCAGAAAGCTTTTGCATATCAGCTTGTCTGAGACTAGTAGATTTTCAGTTTTTGAAAGGTTTTCTCAGAACTGGGTTACAGCTGTATATTTGGTACTTAAACCATCCTGTATTTGTGAATTTATAGTCACATCATTACTGAAGAAACTCAAAGAACAATCAAGAGAAGCTCTAGAGGAAAGAAGACCTCAATTGACAACTGCATTACAAGAGGTAATTTATAATGGTAATAGAAGCAAGTGGAGTCCAATTTGGTCTGTAATCATACAAGTTATTACTAAGTCTTGTTACCAATTGATCATCACTGTAACAATTTCGGAAAAAAAATATACATTCAGGACAAACATCTACAGTAGAGACAATGTGTAAGGTAAAAAAATCCCTCCATTTTGGAAATTCCCCAAATTTTTTAAAGATAAGTGGTTGTTGTTATGGTTATTGTGATCAATTCTGTGATTGAGGAATTCAGTTGAATGGACTTAGTATGATTGGCTGCTAGAACTGACCAATTACAGGTGTCAGATTACAGCCAACTGTCTGATTACAACTATGTGGAATTAGTAGTGAAAAATAAAGCACCTAATGCACTGATCGTTTGTGAGGAAATGGTATTGGTTATGATTAGATTAATATTATGGTCACTGGTGTACATTAACTTCCACTTGCTTTGCTGATAATTTGCCAAGCGCAAGAGAGACCTAAGCAAATTACCAACCAAGGAGTGTTCCTCTTACAAATGCTCTTAGTGTGAGACTCAAAAAATTGTGAAGACTTCAATTGGATTTGAATCCCTAAAATGAATACATGTACTTGTAATTACATTGTACCGATGAAAATAAAATTCAGTACATGCAAGAAATCCTCAAAACCAGAAACTATGTACTGTGTACTTTCAGTTGTTATTCACAGTTTAGTTACTAATGCCTGACATACATGTAGTTCTTTCCTGAAAAGTTTGGGAATTGCTTGCTCCCACTTTCTTATTTACAAACTTTTTTGTGTTCTCCAAACATCTTGTGTTGGTTAATTTGCTGGTAAATAGATAGAAAGTGGGGTCTGTTGCTTAAATGTATGGTAATTTTAGAATTTGCTCCTTTTTTTCCAGCTTGGAGACTTCTATGTAGAGATTAATTGGGATTTTCAAAGCTGGGGTATGTACAGTCAGTCAGAATAATTCAGAAACTGAACAGATTTCATCAATTTGTACAAAAACGTTTTTGCTCTGTTTGCATTCTTTTCTGTTCATTTATGTTATACTTTTGGTACCGTATAGATTTGTCTGTTTAAAATTTATTTTGCAGTACCACTATTGTCCAGAATATTGCCATCAGACACATGTAAAGTGTACAAGAAAGGATGCTCCATAAGGTATTAGACTGTATCTTTTTTTATCCTTTATGTGGGGTGACTAAACCACTTATCTGCACACTTGACTTTTGTCAATTGTAATTTACACTTGATTATATAGTCCAGTGGAAGAAGTGTTGGCCTATGGTTTGTGTGCTGGACTCCATTTCTTGAAGGTGGGATAAGGCTATCCAACAGGACCTGGTTATGAATGATGCTATCCTAGGGATAATCACTGTCTGGCACACTAATGTGTACAGAATGTACCGTGCCATCCACCGGATAGAGATTTACCCAGTGAATACTGTTATCCAGCCTTCCAACAACCCAAGCCAGATAAATTGCTATCCAGGGGATAAGTGTCAACCAAACATACTGCACTATCCACTGGATAGAGATTTATCCAGAGGATACTTAAGAGTTTACTTCTTTGTTACTTGCTTAATCTTTTCCTGTCTGTTGTCATGAAATTTTTTTTCCTTTCAACAGAATGGATAGTACACTAGTGGATTTTAGTGACATGAAGTGGCAGAGGGGTGACTTGACATTTATTTTCAATGGAGATGCAAGAGGTAAATGTTGAGTGGCGTCACTTAAATCAATCTAACTTGACGACATGCAAATATCACGATAGGTGTTTTTAATTTTTATTGGCTGAATTTTACACATTTTAATTATCTTGCTAAATTTTACTATCTAGTGATACATGTTTTAAAACTGCCAGCAAAATGTGGAAAACCTATTAACCAACATGTTTTTTTTTTAAGTTTGAACCCTAAAGCAATTAACATAAGACAAATTTGTTGCATTACTTTACTGTTGCATCTATGATAAGATGGGTTTCGTCTTTAAGCAATCTATTAATCTAAAACAAGATGAACTTTTGTCAATCCACTAAACTTATTTATCATATGCACTCATTTACTTAAAGTTTTAAAAATGCTTCAATTAAAAAAGATTATTGGAAAAAATTCAAACCCATAATTTTTTGCAGGAAAACAATCCTTTGCTGTGTTAGACAATGAGAAGAAGGTTTTTCAAAGACTCAGGACAGAGGTGAGTTATTTTTTCTCATGATGTAATTAGCAAACATCCCATATATGTAGAAAAGGTGGGAATATTTTAGCTTTTTCTAGAATGACTAAATAAGTGCTTTGACAAGTAGCAATTTTATATTGAAACAACATCTGCCATCTTCTTTCAGGACACTGAAGCAGAGATAGAGGAAGAAGTTGATCTACTAATGAGCAGGTACACACTGTTAAACTTTTGACCTCTAGTAGTGATCAGTTAATAAATTCTTCCTTTTTTACATGTATTGTTTTGAAAACAGGTGATTAGAGTTAAAAAAAAAACATTATCAAACAGGACACATTATCTTTTTGCAACAACCAGACTGAATTGTCCAAAACCCTATGACTGCTTATTGCTCTTGGCATTAATTTAACCCTTTAACTCCTAGATCCAATTTGTAATTCTCCTTACTGTCAACCAGACGATTCTTATAATGTTAGTTCAGAGAATTTAGTATTGGATCAATCAATTATCCCCATATTCATATTTTTCTTTATTCTCATCACTTATCTGGTTGATATTGTAAGGAGAAATTCTGTCTTGGTCATTCATGGGAGTTAAAGGTTTAATTTTAAGATAAAAGGTTTTTTTTTGAGTCTCAGAAAGGTCCCTGGGATATGTCTTACAAATCTTCTCTCTGTAAAGGTGCACACAGGTTTTATATGGGTCCTGGAAGACCTGGAAAGTCTTGGAACTTTCTTTTTACATTTTCTTGGACTGGAAAGTCTTGGAAAAAGAATAGAGTTGTAGGAAAGTCTTGGAAATTTGTTTAACTCAAACAATAACGTTTTCAGAATTTACTTATAAGAAATGTTTGTAGATGGTAAAGAGAATTGATTTTGAAATCTTGGGAATTAAAGGGTTTGAGGTGAAAATTGAAGCCCTGGAAAAATCAATCTGAGTCCTGGAAAAGTCCTGGAGGGTATGAACCTTGTGCAAATATTTGCTTTCCTGTGAAACAGTTGTCTTATTTACTTTGCAGTGACATTGTTTCAGCCACTATGTCAACTAAACCCATCACCTTTAGTCGCTCACAAGCAGGTTGGATTTGGCGTGCAGACAGATCAGTAAGTAACATCTCTTTGTTTGCTGTTATTTGCTACGTGTAGTTTCCATTTCATTGGTTGGCTGTAACAAGTTTCCTCTTTACATTTGTGTTTACTGTTTAGGAGATGGTTGGTCCCTACATGTCTGAAGTTTATTCCATAAATGGAATGTTGCTCATTTCTAGAAAGCGGTAAGGAAATGTTCAAAGTTTCTAATGTGTGATTTCAACCTAGTAAGATTGAAAATCAAAGAAGAAATTGGCCTTAAAATTGTGGCAGCCACAGGTTACTACAGTATGTCATTGGCTAACTTTTATACTGTAGCAGTTGTGAAGTGGTTTAGGTCTAGAGCCTGCCACCCAAGATTTCTGACTCAAGAGCCCTAAGGCACCTCATAATTCTTCTGAGCACATAACTCTGGGCTTTGAAAATGACTTGTTCTTAGGATACCTAATGAAATATATAGTCAGTTATAAGAGTGAGAAATATGAATCATTTCATTTCTGAAAAGTTTAATGACTTCCTTTGCTGAAAGCAATCATAATTATCAATGGATGTTCAATTTGTACCAACTTGTGCTTTGTTTTCCTAGGAGGGAGCACTTGTCAGAGGAAGATGTCGTGAAAAACAAGGTTAGTAACTCACAATCTTTTACTACACTTTTGACTTTTTTATAAATGGAAAGTCGAGAAAGTGTGGTGACATGTGTGTCTTCTGGTGCTTATCACGAGGGCTTTTTCACAGGTTAAGAACTGAGTCTTTCATTGAATTAACAGGCTCTGATTGACAATCTAAGCAAGGGAGGAGGAAATATTATGGACAGCCTTCCTGAGGTGAGAAAGCTTTCAATCTGGTGTAGACATGTGAAATTCTGTGCTCTTATTCCTTTACACCCTAACATCAGTGTGCATATTCTCCATACTGTTCTCTATACATTTCCTAAGGTGTGAACAAGGAAAATTTGTCTAATAATCAAGAGCTGCTTTAGTTGGTGGTCATTTTCTTTATTCTCGTGACTTAAATGCGTGATTTAGGGTTGATATTGCAGGGAGAAATTAGGTGCTAGTTACTCAAACGAGTAAAAGGGTTAACCGAGTACTTATTATAGTCTTTGCGCTGAGATGTTAATGTATCTGTTACCTGTTTTTTCTCAGACTACAAGGAGAAGTTCCCTTAATCCTCCACCTAAGACTGACATGTCGTGGGATGAGTACCTGCTGTATGACACAGAAAGGTCAGTAGACATTACAAGTCAGTTCTCTTTAATACAAATTCAAGAAGTATTTGTGATTGCTGATATCGTGCGAAATGACCAAGATCGGAGCAATTTTCAGATGGGGGTCAAACAGTAGTCCAGAATTGCTTTGGTTTTGTCTTTCCCCAGTGGTGCTAAAAATTTAGTGATTGCCCTTTGAAGTGAAGAATGTCTTGTCTCTGGAAGAGAGTTTCTCAGCTGGAGAGCCAAAGAAAGTTTGGGTCGGGTTTGTTACCGGACCCAAACCCCTCTCGTTTTTCTGCTCCACCGCTACTATCGCGTCGTTTATGATCGTGCTTCGTCTCGCAAATTTAACGACTGGAACTAGCCAACGTGTAGCCGTACCCTCCCCTGCAAGGTGAAACAGAAGCATTTCACCTGGGGGGGGGGGACGGTTACTCGTAGGCTAGACTGGAATAGGCCAGAGAGCTGAATGACTATTGTTTCACGTGATGTTAAAAAGGCTGAAACCCTATTATTGTTAACCAAAGGCATTTTTGTGTTGACTGGTTGCATGTTTCTCTCCATTCACAGACTGCCTCCAATTGGTCGGCCCATGGTGCTCAAAGAAGACAAGAAAACTGTCAAAGCGCATGTAGCAATGGTGAGTGTCAGTAGAAGTTAGAACCATACTAGTTTATAACCACCAGTTTATAACCACTAGTTTTACCAGTTTCGTTGAGGTGTGCTAACATCATCAACCTTGTTTTTAATTTTTATTTAATTTTTTTTTTAGAGTGAAGATTTTCCCCTCTCTGTTGATCTGTAAGTTGGTTTGTTTTTCATCACTATTGTTATATCGATATTGTTCATAGGCTCGATTTCCGCCGCGCTCTCGTTTCCGGTGTTCAATCCTCCCCGAGAAGTGGGTTCAGGAGAAGGAGCGTGGGCTCTTATTCCCGAACAGCGGCTGCTAATCGAGCCAATGGTGTTCATTGCACCATTAACCCTTAAATTCCCAGAAGTGATTAACATATAACTTCTCCCTATAATATCCATACGTTATCCAGCAAACAGGTGATGAGAATACTCAAACTTATCAGGGGCGTGATAAAATGATGAAATTATTATTATGGTATGACACCAAATTCTCCTAACTAATTTACAAGGAAATTTGTAACAGCCGGAAGGAAGAATTAACAATCGGATATTGGGTGTTGCAGGGTTAATATAAAGTTATTTTTTCACAGAATGGAAACAGTTCCTATTAAGGTTATGGAACCTTGCATCTTAGTGTATTTTGTGAACAAGTTCTTATTGTTTTGTTTTGTTTTGTTTTCTTTCCTCTCTCTCTCTATAGTATCCTGAAAGTTTTAGAGGTTGTTGCTCCATTTAAGCACTTCAACAAGTTAAAAGAGTTTGTCGCTATGAAACTACCCGCTGGATTTCCTGTCAGAATAGGTTTGTTTTGTTTTTGTTCATCATTTGAGATTTCTCCCATCGTTTCAGCAGAAAAAAGATTTCGCGTTTAGTTTCTGTCGTTGTCGTTTTTTGGTATGTCACGCGGCGAGCTACTTTTAAGAGGGGCGTTGCGTGACATTCCGAAGAGCGGCTGTAAAGGAAACTACATCAGGTTTTGTGCAAATCTTGATTTTTCCATATTCATAATTTGCAAGCTGTGTCAATTTTTCCATCTTTAGCTATTCCTGTTTTTTTTTTGTCTATTTATTATTAACTTTGTTGATTTTCTTTCATAGTAAACTAAAACTGTGTAGTCTTTTCAACTGTAAGGTAGTTTTGCACAGCGCAGTGACGGCGTTTGATCTCGCGATGGCGCTATTTTAGTTGATATTGAATTTTTCTTTTTGGCAGAAATACCAGTTTTTCCGACGATAACAGCACGTGTGACGTTCCGAGACTTTAAATCCTGTAGTGAAATTCCCTCTTCAATGTTTTTTATACCTCGAGATTACAAGGTCAGTCACGCTTCTGTCACACGAAGGGTAACCTTTGACCCGTCACGCTCTCATGCGTGGAAAACAACGTGACAAAGTATACGCCAGTTTGTCATTTTTTCTTGCAAAGGGTTCCTGAAATTTAGAAAAATTTTCCATGTATTGTCGAGAGGAAAGTAAGATTGCAATAATTCAACCTAACTTCCAGCACTCTACTTTATTTACTTTGACTTCTGGCCTCTGGTGCTGTTTGACTGCTTTCAACGGTTGAGGTTTGGCTAGAGAACATCTTCTGGTTTTGGTTTAAATACACGCGCTCGAAATGCGCTCTTTCTCTGTCTCAAAAAGTTACTTTTAAGGGCAACAAACCTCACCTATTCTTTAAGTAATTAACTCAGTTTAGATTAACCTCGACTTTTACCTTCCCATTGCAGGAGGATCCGAATCGCTTCCCAGATTTGTAAACAGAATGAAGATGTTCAAGACTAATGTTCTGCTTGAAAATTGTTAAAATTTACCTCGCGCACCAATGGTTGACCAGTGCGACTCTATTTTCTCTTACTTGTGCACAAGCAAGTAAAGCGTTTCGGTAATTCAATCATTTCTTTTTAATATTGAGATCTTTCAACGAATATCTCGTATGTTTGTTACAGAATGAAATTCTTATTCGTAAGAACAGTTATCAGTGGCAAAGTATTGAACAATGTCACACCAGTTCACCAAAAAATGAAATGGCTACAATTTTTGTTCCAAAATTTCTAAGGATATGCTTTCGTTGTCTAAATTCGTTGCCCATTGCAGGTAGACAATGTAAATCATATGCAAAACAAATTCAATAGACCTCTTTCAGTTTGGCGGCAGAAAGTTAAGACTGCAAAGTGAGTGCAATGATTTCGTGTAATTTACACGCATTTCACACTCACGTGCGTGTATGGTTACTGCACGCAGGTACGTGTAGTGACGCACGGTTTGCGTCAAGAGCCTTTAACGCGGCAGGACACGCGAGCGCTGCATGTACCAGCACGTTAAGAAATCCTTGAGACACGTTATTTCAGCAGAGAAATTATGATTTTTTATTTTGCAAAAAAAAAATTTTTGACTTCAATGTACCTTGGGCTCCATTTGAACCCTTTGTCTGAGACAAGGGATAATTTGAATTTTATTACTGACGTGAAATTTTCAGGACTCACTTGTAAGTACAACACTTGAGTCGCAAAGTAGTTCCTAACAAAAAACAAACAAACAAAAAACCACCGCAAACTGAGACCCGTAAATTTTTTTCATAGTCACTTTTCAATTCTTTTTCCTTGAATTAAGAATTATTGAAGCCAGTTAATACTGCGCATACTTGCTATTTAGCTTACATCTACACGTTTAACTAGGAGGTTAAAACGTTTGATAGTGCTGCCTGAAATGGAACTCGCAAAAATTAGCTCTCGGCCGAAATTTCAGTCATAGACAAGAAATCAACACCTCACTAAAAGGAATCCGTTCAACTGCCTTAAAGTTTCGCGCCGCAAAGGGTTTTCGAATAGAGGTGTAGGGTATAAGTGATAGTTATATTGTGGACATAGTGTACTTTTGTGCTGATATTTTTTTGCTGTCAGTTCTCGTCCAGTCTTCAAATTATATTGGCGAGAGCGCGGACAAATAACTTTAACTTGGTGGGAATGGTGAAAGCGTCTTTTTTTTGCCCTTCCTCTGTACCGAGAGCAGTTTTGCCCTCTACCTAGACCTTTCTCACTATTTAAACGGTAGCACTTGAAAGGATGAGGATTAAGATTTGTAAACAGTAGTGAGGGTACTTCGGCAACATATTTATGTAGTGTGTTATAGAAAGCTTATATATGTGTACATCTTATTTGATCCGTTGAGTTTATTGCTATTTATGATGAACGTCCGTGGTGACACCGTTTCATTTTCGAAGTTACGGGTAATAAATGTAAAATTGTAGCAAACAAAAGGTTAGACATAAGTAAAGGAAAAGATAATTTATTTTTGTAAAAGACTTCTTAAGTAATACGGCTGTGGTAATATGGTGTACGCTAAGCAGAGTAAAGCATGTAGATTCTTAGCCAAGGTTTTACATCTGTGAATGAAGCAGTTTAGATATTGTTATGAAATAATGTATTTTTTCTTTCAGTTGTCGTTGATGTTTTTCTTTTCACCAAGAGAATATAAACAGGTTATAATCTCTTGTTTCCACATGTAACGTCGGTACGCTGATAAAAATGGGGGCTAGGTATTATTTTGGACATCGGAGCTGTAAGTCAATACTGGGATAGAACAACAAAAACAAAACAAATAATGCACTACAGACATTGTTATTTTTGACCCAACGAAGTGTTTTAATTGAGTTAATTTTTTTAGTTTCGTTACATTAAATCCACATCAAGTGCTAGCGAACTAGTTGGGCCATTTGTTAGAATCAGACAAAAACTACCTCTTCCGAAACAAAGCTACTACAAAACAATTATTTTGGTAATGAGTTGAAAGGCAAGAAAATGACAAACCATTTTTGTATCTAAGGCTCCGTACTCACCCTCGTTTTGGTGAGAGGCTTGGGGCATCTCGAAAATCAGACGTTCTATTGTAGTGGGTATATACACTGAAATTCGGCCAATGAGCTGCCTTTGCCCTTGGACGCCGCGCCCAGTCTCCTACATGGTCGGTCTTACACGCTCTTTTCAAACAATCTTACTGCCTAGTGTGAAGTGAGGATTATACTTTGAAGCTAAATGAACATTTTATCTCTAATTTACTTCAGAACTTTCCTTACAATTGAAAAGCCTCAATGGAATCTTAAGACAACTTCTACCTGATAAGTTTGAATATTCTCATTACCTGTTAGCTGGATAATGTAAGGATATTTGGGGAGAAGTTACATGATAATCATTTGCGGGGGTCAGGGGTTAGTGAAGCGGCTAAATCGTTTCTTTTATTCGAGAGCATTAGGTTGGATGAAGAAAAAAGCTGTACAAATTAAAATGCTTAATTTCACGGAAATTCAAACCGGAAGTGATGATTAAATTTGAAAAAAGCCTCGGAATAAGCAAGCTCATTGGTCCATTAAACTACTGTATAGCACTTCTTAACGCTTGTTTTGACACAAGTAGCAAATAGACCAATTTATCCAATCAGCCATTTGCAAACACGCTTGCATCCTCTGTTTCGGAGATTTAAGCACTTTCGCCACAACTTGTTGAACCTGTCAGGAACTCTTCTGCAAATCCGTTTTATGGCCCATTTACACACTTTTTTACAGGCCTTCTTTTTGAGCTTGCGCAGTAGCCTACCACCTTTCCGCTTGCGGAAGAAACCTCGTTTTACACCTTGCAGATAAAATAAGAAAAATGCCATCAGTGGAAAGAACAAAAAACACAAATATCCTATGGATATGGAGTTTCTGAAATTGTGTGCGAGACGCAGTAGCCTTGTGGTTAGTGCACAGGACTCTAGGTGGAGAGGTGTGGGTTCTAGACCTGGCGGGATTATTGTATTGTGTTCTTGGGCAAAAAAAGTCCACCAGAGAGGGGGTGGGGGCTTAAATCCACCTCACCTTACAACCCAACCCACTACGTGCCCCTGGGCTACTCAACACCTTAAAGATGTAAAAAGTATTAAGCACGGTTGATTGTTTAAGACTTACGTGTGTCAGGAGTGTCGTCCAAGTCGATTATTTCACGAGAATTGCTGGCGTCTTCATCAAAATCCTCATAAAATTCTGCATCAGCTTCCATATCATCATCCGCATCCGTTTCCTCGTCATCTTCCTCGTCATTGAGGTTCATAGCGCCATCGGTAACAACATAGATTGGCAGATTCACACACAGATCTGCCATTTCAGCACTCAGCCCTGAGCGATCTTCAAGCTCTCCGACAACTGTCATTTGTGTTTCAGTTGAAGAAGTTGTTGACTCTTCGCCCGCTCCAGGAGTTTGCTAAAAATGACATGGCAGAACATAGAGATGAAAATGATTAGCTGTTTTCATTAATTTAAATTTGTTTCGATTGACAATCCCTTAAAGAAAAACGCCAAAGGGCCGGTTATTTACACGAAGTCTAACCCAAACCACGGTTTCTATGCAATCAGTGAGCGCCAGGCTCTAATTCTACATGAGAGCATTGATTTGATTAGATAACTGTCCTTCCATGGTTATTTTCCGGCCCTCTCGTCACTGTTCGCAAAAAATGATGTACAGTTGAAAAGTCTAGCTAACTTGAGGATTGTCCAGTACGCGGTTTTGTTAAACAACGGCTGAACTTTGTTAAAATAACCGGACCTAAGAACTTAAGGCAATCTCAGCAATGGTATTGAAGTCATACGTTGGAGGGATTACCGTGCCACAAATCTCGTACCCAGACACTACCGTGTAACTGTAACAACCGCTTCCAATGGAAGGTCTGGATACGAGACTGCCGTGCCATAACAAGGATCTAAAACTATAGAAGAACTCAAAGGACGCAAAGGAGATCTTGGATGCCTGAAATGGAAAATGATAAGACGCTGTGTTGCACTTTGGTAGTAACTTTCGCTCACCATCTCTAAAGCTTCCTTTAAATCGGCAGGTGTGAGAGTTTCATCGATTGAATCAGCCATATAACAAGCCTTTTCTTCCAGCAAACGAACCATCGTCACTTGCTGCATGAAAAACAAACAGAGAAAAAGTTAAAACTTTATGTCCAACCCCCCTCCACAGAAAAAAATATAAACAGAAAAAAATGGGCCCCGACTGTAACAGAAAATCACATCGATATTCACCCTTTTGAAATCGTAGACTATATCCCCTGCTGATTCATTGAGCGATGTCTTTGGTACATGGAAAGTCTCTATTCCCTTTGCAGTGTCAATTTCGATCTGTTCGCCAAATCTTTTTCCACCACTTGACAACTCCAGAGAATATTTAGTCACGGAACTCTAAGAAGAGAGAAATTTCATAAGATGTGGGAATGTATGTTTTGAGATTTACATCAATCGAGCGCTTGCATCATTTATACTTCTAGACAAATACTTAAAGACATCTTCCTATGTTTGTAGCAACTTGTACCCCGGTAGAGGCTTTACTTCAAGAAAGGAGAAAATTGGGACACCATTGCAATTTGGGAAGCACGCACGCGCGTATATGACAATATGTGCTTGCGCAAAAATCGTCTCTTCGCCCTCGAATTAATAATTAAATATGATCTCGTTCTTACCTTTGCCTCTGCAATTAAGGACATGGATTGAACGCTGACGGTCAGGAGAGCGAGACATGAAAACAGCAGCTTTAATTTCTTGTGGAAAAGAGAGGCAGTATTGAGTTATTAGTGAATCAAGGAGGCGAACAATGTTGATGGTTAATATACAGCTCCATTCTTATAAGCTCGCTCCTATTTGAATTTCTGTGATCTCTTCCGTGAAATTATCTTTACTTTTAATTCACTGACTCCTATAGATGAGAAAGCAAGTTCACTCATCGGCTTTCCATCGTCACTCAGCGATAAACAGGAAAAAAGTGTCTAACTTGCAACTTACATTAAGTAATAAACAGACCACAAAACTCGAAGTAAGCACTCGATACTCTAATTGTTATGATGTTATAAGAGTTATCAGTACGGGTATCTGCAAGGTGCTGCTTCTCCTAAACGACCACAGGACACCCCTTTTTATTACAAAATTTACGTTCCCACAAGATAAACAACCAGTTGGTAAGGTTTGAGGAAATTCCAGGGCAGTTACTATTTCAGAAGAATGACCTTCAGTCCGGGATTCGGGATTTTAGGAGAACTGGTGCTGGGAAACGAGATTCGGGATTACAGAGATAAACAGTACATAGGACTGGGGCGTAGGAATCAAACAAGGAGGGTTTAGGGAAATATCAATAACTTACCATCTTGTACTCTACAAGGAGCGCAGTTCTTGGAGCTTTTTTGGAGGTTCTTTCTTACCGTGTGCAACGTTTTTTTAAACAGTGAGAAAAACTGCCTCTTTTATACCATTTGATGAGCGCCTCTTCTACCGATATCATGACGAAAAAAATTAGTCAGAATCGCCTTTCAGATGTTTCAGCTCTGACATCAAACTGAGTTAGGTTGTGGGTAGAATATTGTTCTTTTAGCTAAATATTTCAAGGGGACACCATTTCTTTGACGCAAATCTCTGGCAAAAGCGTGGGTTTCTTACCCTGCTTGAGATAGCAGTCTAAATACTGAAAACCACCATACTCTAAAAATAATTACAGTACTGTTTTAAAGACTCGTTGCTATTTATACATCGTGATCTCAAGTTTTTGCGAAATGACCTCAGTTGCAAAGACAGACTTGCCCATTTTCATAATCCAATGTCAAAATGTTGTAGAATGTAGGAGATAATTTGGTTAAACTGAATGAAGTTTGCATACATAGATCGCTGCTATCTTGCCCATGACGTGTTAAACTTTTTCCAACTCAGAGACACTTTGTATTTTCTGATAGCTGATATCCTTTGATTAACAAAGAGTCGAAAATAACCTAGACTGCTATACGGCTAGGTATAAATTCGCTCGTTTTCATAAAAATGAACCTTTTAATCGGTGATTCTTCAGTTCAAACATTCTGGGAAGAACACAATAAACTATTAAGGATTTCGCTGAGTTGCATGCGTATTCCCTGTATGTCAATAATATTTATGTGGATACTTCTATTTTCTTGTCACCCGTTTTACTAATTTTCCCTTTGAAAAATGTGAACCCTTTTGTGTATCTCATTCTTCATTATCACACCTAGTACTTCAGTTTTAGCTTTAATATATTCTTAAACTTTTGGCGAACTTCTGCCTCATTATCTTACAGCGAAAATGTTGCAAAATTTGATAATTGTGATGAGCCCATTCTTGTTTTGAAATAATATTTTCTTCAGCCAAGATGGCTCTCTTTCTGCGTAAGTTTGTTGCAAATAAAATTAAAACGTAAATAATTACGTAAACAGAGATTCGCTGATAATATCAGCTTCCATTTTGATATTTGGTGCTTCAACGAAACGCAAAAAGCGTACGATGTCCGAGGAATTTTGTTCTCGTTTTGATTCATATCGTAATCTGAAGGAAACGAATTTTGTTTATTAATTGTTGTAGAGTTTTCGTATCAAATTTAATCCATCTATTTGGAAACGACACTTTTAGTTTAGCGGACGCAGACACCTAAATCATGATTTTAAGTTGTTTTTGCAAATAAGATTTTTCAAGTGGATGCTGACAACATATTGGAATTGTTACCTCATTTAATATGGCAGCAATTAGACTAATACAGGACTTATTTATGTCAACAGATTATAGTTTGATATGGCTTGTCACGTAGGGAAGGAATCCACAGCGTCATTTGCATGCATTTGCAAACAAATGCCCTTTGGTTAAACTATTTTCCTGAATTTTAAAATGGTTTTTGGTTGTTCAAGTTGTTGTCTTGAAAATTAGGAAGTTTTTTCAACATTTTGAGTTCATTTGAGCGGAGGTAATAGTTTATCATGCCTCGAGCGACACGATATCATTTAACGTAATTAATGATTTATTTCACCAACAACCTCTTACTGCAAATTGTTCTTTTCGATATGGTGTTATTGACTCCTATGCGCCTTTTGATTGTTTCTTATCTGTAATATATTTCAATACAGTCGCATAAATAGCATCGGTGGCAATTTTCTCTTTCTCTATATACATATACATCAAGAAAGGAAATTCATTTCTCTGGAGTAGTGATTGTTCACTGAGTGATCACAGATCACGTCAAAAAGTTGTACGTAGGTGTCACTTTTGCCCACGACTTGTTATGTGCCTCCTTTCTGCTTCAACCACATTTGACGTCAATTGAGGTCCTTTAATGAACAGATACAAGCAAACGGAAGTATAAATTTAAACTTCTTAACTACTTCGAAATACATCCTTGATATTCATCTAAAAAATACTTTGATGACCTTGGGAAATATTTGCAGTTGAGATTGAGAAGGATAAACAGAGCAGCGAGAACAACAATATATCTTGCCTCGTCAAAGACATTTATAGCCAAGGAAAGATATGGTGTGGTGTCCTGGCAAGAAGTGAAAAAACATTTCTTCGGATCAACTGATTCAGTTGCTCTCTCTTCGAAGAAAAACTTTCCCCCTAAGTTTTCATGATGCGTTTATCTCACATATTAAAATATTTCTGCAAGGAAAAGTTTTGCTTTTAATCACGCGTCTGTGAGGAGCCATCTGAAATTATTGTGAGATGTTTATCGTCTTCTGTGGTATTACGGTGCGAACTGAAAAAATATATTTTGGGAGTTAGCAGACAAAAAGTTATTTGTAAATAGAAAAGAGAGATAGTAAGTTTTGAGCTCGGTAAAGAAAGAGAGAAAGATGTTTTTCGTCTTGTCACGAGCGTGGGACAAAGGAAAAAAAATCCGAAGGTTTAGGACTCAATTCCTCATGGGGACTCAGAACTTTTTCTTTGTCCCACGCTCGTGACAAGACGAAAAAACATCTTACTCTATTTCTTCACCGAGCTCAAAACTTACCATCTCTTTTTTCTATTTAAAAACATAACGCTATCGACATTGCTGATCCTAGCAGTATGCAGGACGAGAGTCTCTGTGGCTCAGTGGTAGAGCATAGGAGCGCGGAATCCGAAGGTTTGAGGTTCGATTCTTCTTGGGGAATCACAATTTTTTCTCACGCTCTTGACAAGACGAAAAACATCTTTGTTTAAAAAATAATTTGTTTCAAGAGGCAGTCATCTTTCTTTAGGTATGATGTACTCAATAATCTCTAGTGCGAATGTCGAACTGCCAAGATACTTCGAAACAAATAACAAACTCGGGTCAAAATAGGGTAAAGTTCGGGGTACTATTGTTACCCTCACTGAATCACTCTTACTTTTCGAATATGTCTGTGGCTTCGCCTCCTTATGGACCCCGTTTTTAAATCCCTACTTACGAGAATTTTCTTACCCCCGAACTCCCGAAAATGAGAGACCGTATTCTAGTTACTCTGTTCAAAATGTAACCCCATTATAATCAATCCAGTCGTGAAAATGCAACCCCATCCAGTGGCACGTCACCATCAACCTCTTTCTAGGAAGTGACCCCACCCCACGCCTCAGTTATTTTTCTTACGAGCAGCTTGCAAGTGATTTTAGAACAGTTGTCGACTACACTCAGAGAGTCAAGAAAACGGTGTTTTCATTCTAAATGCCACTTAACGAGATTCCAAGAAGCAAATCAAACTAAAAGAAAATCAAAAAGCCTTTTTTTCGCAAACTTTGGTTGATTTTTATTGACGTGATGTTAAAGCAAATCCAAATCACAACTTTTTCCCATTATATTGAAACGGAAGCCGAGGAGTCTATTTAGTTACAGAAGTTTTAATTCTAGAAGTATTGAAAGTTGTTAAATCATAGTTTCAAGTTTGACATGTCATTTCAAGCTGAGTATTCATCAGGACCTGCCAGGGAAGAGAAAAATCAAACATTAGTACTAATGAGGGTCACTCATAACCATTTACCGCCTATCATCAGTATGTATATTCTTCATACTCTTCTCTATGTTTTCTCAAGAACCTGAAGGGGACTTTGTGTAACAATCAGGAGCTGCACGTCTTATTTCTTATCTTCTTTGGCCACTCACCTTTACCCATCCATTGTTAATTCCATCACTGATATGGTCTTCGTTAACCGCGAAGGCGGCGAGGGCGAAAGCGGCGAGCACGAAGAATTCTACGAACGCGGCGAACTCTACGACGAATACGAGGAAGGCGGCGAAGTCTACGACGACGAATGCGTCTGACCAGTCTAATTCGGCGTGTAATGCGTTGGGGGTCAGCTGACTTTTCTACTGCTCCTACGTCATCTTCGTCATTATCGAGTGCTCCTTCTTCAAACTCTTCGTCTTCGGTCGCCATATCATTTTCTCTGAGTGCAGGAAAATAGAGGTGCCAAAGATCATCGTAAACCAACTAGTTCTTTAAATATCTATTTACTCATGTACTTATTTGTGACATTTAGACAGGCTGGCTCAGTTCAGCTTTACAGCTGGTATGGTGACCTGCTCAAACAATAACAAGATCAGACCACAACACCGGAAGCTATATTTCCTACTGTTTGCGAGAAGTAGGTGGGGTTCTTCGACGTCCCCATTTCCTCAACGTACCTTCTGTGGATTGCCATATCATTGTCCTCGAAGTCTTCCTCATCAAAGTCTTCATCGCCCTCTTTCACGTATTCTTCACTAAAAACACATAAAATGTAAAATGAAACCACCGCTGTTGCGACACAATTCAATCATATAAAAAAACAAACATTTTCAAATGTCTAACAGGAAAGCGAAAAATTAAATAAGCTAAATTGCCCAGGTTACACAGAGGATCAAGTTAAACTAAGAGGAAAGCTAAAAATCTAAGCATTTCCTCAACGTACCTTCTGGGGATTGCCATATCATTGTCCTCTAAGTCTTCCTCATCGAGGTCTTCATCGCTCTCTTTCACGTATTCTTCACTAAAAACATAAAATGTGAAACGAAACCATTGCTGCTACGACATAATTTAATCATATTAGAAGAAAAGGAGAAAATGGAGAGACAAGGAGAAAATGGAGAGGGCCTGGCTCTTATTTTCAGTTCCGATGCTTGCTCAATGGAGTGTCATCGAAGGAATTGCCACCTCACGCCACAATTTAATATCTTCTTCTTCATCCAGGAGAAACAAGAGGGACTCCGTATATTTGGAACCTTTGTAAACTCTATTTTGTTACTTAAGTCATCATTTATAGTTATTTTTCTTTATCCAACTTACCCTGGAAGTTTTTCTGCTTCAAATTCATCTGCCATGTTGGCCAAGTCATTCTCAGTTACCGCCACTGAAAAGCCAACAGCGAGTACAAAGCAAAACGAAGCCAAGAAAACAGATATCTTCATTTTGACCTCTCTGTTGGAACTTGAGTTCTCAACTGTTGGAAGCCTCAAAGGTCACTGCTTTTATGCATCCCATTCGGGTGATATTAAAATCCATTTTTCCCTCAGGCACCCGATATTTGATCATAGAATGTAGACCCTTGAAACTCTGTAAAAAATAGAATAAAGAATACACTATTTACCCTTTAAGATAAAAATCTCAATGGACATTCCTAAATGTTCGTCCGTCTTCTAATGATAGCATCAGATAAACCACATAGTTTGAAAATATTTACTTGTTCAAATTGCTAATTATTTCCAAAGCTTTTCTTTGATGTTTTAGTTGATTTCATTTTACTGATAGAAACAATTATACTTTAATTTAGATTCATTAGATTTCATTAATACATATTTTGCCTCAGTGGCTTTAACGATAATGTAAATCCTCGAAAATCTGTAAAAAAATGGATTTCGAAAACACTTGTTCTTCTTATAGATAAAAATCTCAATGGCGCCAGTGGTAATGATGTTATCATATAATTTACTTTGATAATATTTACTCTTTTAAATTCTTAATTATTTTCCAAGCTTTTCCTTGAGGTTTGAGTTGTTGGTTTTTTAGAGCTTGCAGATAACAAGGCTTATACTTCAACCTGATTTCATTAAAAGAAAAAAATATCTATATATATATGTATATGTAAATATATATATATATATATATATATATATATATATATATATATATATATATATATATATATCGTTCAAATACAGAGCTTTGATAAGTTGAATGATTTTAAAACTCTTTGATTTTCTTTTATTCGTCTACTCAACAGTTCTACATGTTTTCTTTACGCATCTAAAATGAGTGGCTTGTTAAAGATTTGAGCAAATTTGTTTTGTAAACACGGATTGGAAAGGAACAAGTTGAACTAACAATTGGGGAATAGAGTGTAAACTACTTTGAAATAAAACAACAATTCGTTCATTCGTGAGAATACAATATTTTCACTAAGTGTTAGTAACAAACCAACATAATGATCAGCTTACAGTTGTTGGCTTGTTAGCTCAGTTGCTAGAGTACTATCCCGGTATCGCAGAAGTCATGGGTCCAATTCTCGTACAGCCTATATTTTTCATCTTTTTCGGCTGAATTTTCGTTACTGCTTTAAAAATGTTCTTAATTGCGATAATCATCTTCATTTATTAATCTGCAGTTCAAATACATGACATTCATATGTTTACAGTGGTTTAGTATACCACGTAGATAACCAATATTTACACTTTTATTTTAGTGCACTTTTTTCCTACAATCTGATGAGAAATCTTCTCCAATACTTTTATCAAGTACCACATGAGGGATCGCAATATATAGCTGTGTTGTTAGCAACTCCTCATAGTTGCTGCTCTCAAACTTTACTCACAGCCGCCATTTTGAATAACTCCTTGATATTTGCTCGAATCGCACTTTTTCCAACCAAGTTATAGCTAAGGATAGTTTGACTTTGTATTAGAATACCCTGATGCGAGTTGAACTCTACTAACAGCGTGTGGAGATTCCAAAGGTATTCTAACAGTTCGAAAATTGTTATTAAGTGTGGTAATAATTCAAACATAGATGCCGTCATTCTGGAGAGAACTTAGTAACCTAGCCGTTGGCACAAATCTAAACGGTACAAAAACAGCTACAACTCTAGTTAACGCAAATATTTCTTTTTGCGAATCAAAAATGCCCCTTTGTTTAACTACATAATGCTCAAACAGATTGCCAAGAAATGAAAGAGGAAATAGTATGACTCAAATGGCGACGTCCTAAGTGGAATGTAGAGTATTTTTAAGGCTTTTTTGTGAGGCTATCAAATGTCGGGCACTAGGGAGCTCTAACACGGTCTTTTTCTGCTTTCTTTAATGACTCGGTTCTTCAGTACAAAATTCTACGTACATCCAACTTTTGCTTATGCTGTGTAACTCCGGCTAATCTCTTACTATCACTCTTTAATTCTTACTGAGTACTTCTCACCGACTTGCGCTGCTAAACACTCACACTAACTACAGACTTGTCTTTACTCTTCTACGCACTGTCTACATTCTTCTCCACTAAGTAAGCTCTTAAGAAAATGCTTATATATTCACTATTGATAGATATGGGCTGACTTTGGGAGATTAAAAATTGGTTTCTAGAACACTAACCCAAACAATTTCACGAAATGAGCGACAAAGTACTTGGTGCCTCTGATTAACTGACTCAATCCCTAACTACGTTAGCCACAACCGTGAAGAACTTTCTTGTGGGTCCAAAGCTAGGTCTATAGACAAACTAGGCACGTCCTCTCAAGCAAGTTAGACAAGACTGTCACAATTGGGAAACTCATTACGATTGCTCAAACCAAAATAACTACGGACTTTAAATTCATGTATAGTAGCTACATTCTAATCAAATAGAATAGAACGACTTAATCAAACTGAAATAACTATCCGACTAACTAAACTAAATAAATACTTCATAATATTGTTAACGAAGGTACAGGGCTTGAATTTAATGTTTACGTTTTAGCAAGGGAAGTACAAATCCTTATATGGCTTTTGAAGCGTACATCTTCTTTAGCGAGTGGGCGCATGTTTTTTTATGCAGTATGTTTTTCTTACCGATGGATAAATAAAATCTTTCTTGATATCAATCGTGAACTATAAAAAACCACTGATCATATGGGCATGGTATGTGTTAATCAAATATATTTTATGAAATGAAATTGAAGTAAGCGGTGCCATCTGTAAAGGAAAAAAATAAATACAAAACTCGAACTTAAGGGAAAGGCTATGATGGAAATGATAAGGAATGTTAACGAATAAATACTATCAAATTGCATGGTTTCTCTCATAACATCATTACAGGACAGAAAAAAATTTTAGCAGGACCACTCATTGCGATTCAGTCTTTCATGGTAACGTGTGTCGCTCAGTCTATTTTTTACAAATTTTTGGCGGTACACACTTCTTGATCATATATCGGGTGATATGGGTATCTGATTTCAATAAAGCATTGCATACTCGAGTGAACAATATAAATTTCCTATTTCAAAGTATTTACACTCCATACACAAAGTGTGAGTTTGATATTGTTGCTGTACGACTTGTTTTTACAAAACAAATTTGCTTAATCTTAAATAAGCCGCTTACGTTGGCCATATACAGAAAACAGGTTTCGCTGGAGAATAGATGAGTAAAAGAAAACGAACAAGTTTTAAAATCGTTTAACTTATCAGAGCTGTATAGGTAGACGTTTAAAAACTTAAATTTCAGAATGTATGTTTTCTTTCCTTAAAATCATCTTTGCTCCGAAACAGTATGACTAATGTTACTTGCTTAAATATACTGTGGGAAAATACATTCTTATATGTCTTCTGAAGCAAAAACAACATCTTTCTTGATGTTAATCGTGGTCTTTGAAGCCTCTTATTTACTCATGAGTGTGTTAACAATTTTTTTCTAATAAAATGAAATTGTAATAGTTTCTCCAAAATAAGAAAAAAACTAAAACCTTAAGGAATTCCTTTGGAAAAATGCAACGTTTATCTCATAACATGCACCACGACAGGAAGGACGAACTCTTAGGAGGATATCTTGAGATTTTTATATGTAGGGGTACAAGTGTATTCTTTCATCTATTTTTACAGTTTTTCGAGGGTTTTCATTCTTGAAAGTCACCGATACAGGCAAAGTATGTGTTAATCAAATCTTTCTGAAATGAAATGAAATTCAACTTTAAGTTTTTCAATCTGTAAAATGAAAAGAGCTTAAACCTTCAGTAGAGGCTATGGAAAATAAAGAAATTTACACCAGTAAACATAAGCAAACTCCAGGAAAAACGAACACTTGGGAGCTTCCATCGAGATTTTTACCTCAAGGGTAAATAAGGAACTCTTTAGCCTATTTTTAACGGGTGTTCAAGGGTCTACATTCCATGACGATATGTCGGGCGATATGGGGATGTGAATACAATCAAGCATTGCATACTCGAGAAAATAATACGTATTTCCTATTTCAAAGTAATTTACACTTCATCCCCAACTGGATGTTTGAATTTGTTGTTGTGCGAGCCATGTTTGCAAGACAGATTTACTCAATCTTTCACGGCCTGCTTGTTCTCGCCATAAACAGAAAACAGGTACCTCTGATGAATAGATAAATGAAAGAAAATAAACGCAGAATGGGTGTTTTTTTTCTATCTTGTGCCCTGCTTCTATTCGAGAGTTTTTCTTTCGTCTGGAGTTCCGCTAGAATAAAATAGGGTTGATCGTGAAGGGCAGAGATTGTTCAACATTGTAAGATAATACAACCCCGAAAACCATCATAATCTAAAAGTAATTACAGTACTGTTTTAATGTTGCTATGTATACATCGTGATCTCAAGGTTTTGCGAAATGACCACAGTTGCAAAGACAGATTTGCCATTTTCTTAATCCAATGTCAAAATTCTGTAGAATGTAGGAGATAATTTGGTTAAACTCAATGAAGTCTACTTAGATCGCTGCTGTCTTGCCAATCACGTGTTAAACTTTTTACTACTCAGCCGGACATTTTGTATTTTCTGATTGCTGATGTCCTTTGATTAAGACTTGCAAGATTTGATAACTGTGATGAGCTCATTCTTGTCTCGAAATAATATATTTCTTCAGCTGGGATGGCTCTTTTTCTGCGTAAGTTCGTCGCAATTAAAATTAAAACGCGAACAATTACGTAAACAGAGATTCGCTGATTAATATCAGCCTCCTTTTCGATATTTGGTGCTTCAACAAAATGCAAAAAGCGTTTGATCTCCGAGGAATTATGGTCTCGTGTTGATTCATATAATCTGAAGAAAACAAATTTTGTTTATCGCTGTAGATTTATCGTGTCAAACTTAATCCATCTATTTGGAAACGACACGTTTAGTTTAGCGGACACAGACACCTAAATGTTAAGTTCTTTTTGCAAAAGAGATTTTTCAAGTGGATGCTGACAGCATATTGGAATTGTTCACTCGCTTAATATGCCGGGTATTAGA